AGAAAATATAAATTTAATTCAAACTAATATTATGTAAACATTAGCGTGTACAGACGTTAAACTTGAAGTATAAAGAAAATTTCAGAACTCGCTGTTTGACCATCTTTATATTTTTATAAATTTAAAAAAAAATTGCTATTTTCACTAATTATTAACTTTTCATTAAAACACTAAATGTAGGTAAAATTTGTTGTTTTTAGTAGATATTATTTGTCTTTAGATTTTAAATAGTTTTTCACCGCACGTTAAAGAGAATAACATTTCTTAATCCGTTTTTTTAAATTCTAAATATTAATATAAATATTATCTTACCGAATAAATAAATAATAAAAATAATGTACTGATTTTAGTCAAATGCGAAACGCGACATTAAAAATAAAAAATTAATCCGCTTTAGCTTCGTGGTTTGTTTACGTAACAACTTGACATGATAATCTTTACACTGATGTCCTAATCTTTTATCTCTTTATGCTTGTTAACCAAACATATAACTGTATACTTAAAAAATAACAGTATTTTGATATTTAACGGTATACTTTAACAATTTATTTTTAGATTTGATTTATAAAATAAAAATATAATTTAAATCAAAAAATAAAAATAAATGACTAAACCAAACACTCTCTACAAATAAAAGATAAAAATTAATATTTATTATTAACACATATTTTATTAAAATACTTCCATTCATTTTTAAATTTATTTTTATTTGAAACAAATATACAACCCAGTATTTAAAATTTATTTTTTATCCATAAATCAGTGTCAAATTACAAAAAAAAAAAAAAAACTTTTTCTTAATAACAACATAATTTACTAACAAAAACTAATTAAATAAAATCACGAGTTTACGAATATTAATCAGTTGAATAACTAATACCAGTTGCGTATCTTACCGAATTAAAATTTTACATAATTTAATATAAAAAATGAAAATGCTGATGTTAGAAATTGAGGGGCCCATGTGTAACACAACTCCGAATTTTTATCCTCGTGGAAAAGACCTGAGGCGTCAAAATCCATTCACTAATCATTACATCTGCCACTAAAAAGTTTAATTTAAAGACAAAAAAATAAAAACAAAAATAAAATTTACATTTTTTTCAGTTTGACATAATCTAAACGGCTCTCTCTCATTGGCTGTGCCACCTCACCATGTGCACTTTTTATTGGTCAAAATGTTAAGTCACCAACTCCAAATCCAAAGTCATCGACACGTGAAAAAAAAAAAATTTTTTTAAAGCATAAATTACTTTAAAATCCTAAATATTGACCAAAATTAATTTTTCATCCTTACTAGTTTGAAAATTTACCATAGAATTTATAAGTTTTACCCTGTTAAACCTGATTAGTTGTTAGCAAATAATTTTATTTTTGCTATTAAGTGAGTGACAAAATAATAATCTAATTTTAAATGACTAAATTATAACAATATATTAAGTAAAAAGGGTTAAATAATTCAATATTACAGAGATATTTAACAATAAAATTAATATCTTTTGATTTAAAAAAAATAATATCTTTGAAATAATTTAATGATGTCAAATATTAAGAGTTTCATAATAATTTTTCAAACAGAACAAATGAAATGGTAGTTAAAATAAAAAAAATTTCAGGTAACTCGCAAAATTTTAAATCAATTTATGTAACATTAAATTTAACTATTGTTTAACGATTTTAAAATAAAAAAATAAGAGTTTAATTTTAATTGTAATAATTAATAAGTAACATATTGGGATTTTTATTTTTGTGTTATTGGGTTAGAAGCGGGCCTCGATTGGAACCCTCACCAAGCCGACAAATCCCCATTTGAACGGGACAGCGTGTGCGTTTTGTAAGGGATTGTGCGGAACACATTTTCCATTTTACATGCACTTCTTTTAGCCCTGAAACCATACATGGTGGTGGTGGTGGCCACCTTCACCCACCATCGCCACCACCACCGCCACCAATACCATCTTTGTTTTGGCTGCCACCACCACTTTGTTTTGTTTCCAGATTATGTCCATCTTGTCTTTGCTTTTACTAAGTTAGTTAATTGATCCAAATAAATGCAATTATTTCTTTTCTTTACTAATAAGTTATTAATAAATGCAATTAACTAAGTTAGTTAATTGATCCAAACAACAAATTGGGTCGGGTCGGGTACTGGATATCAAAATGGCAAACTTGTAATAGAATATTTGCTTATAATGACTTAAGATTTTATTTTAATTGATGTAATATTATTTCTATTATCAATTTTACAAATGTAATTATCTTTCAATACTAAATGAAAAATAAATTTTAGTAGATCAGATTTTGTAAGTCAATCCTAACAGAAGGTATCTTTCACTTTTTCTTCAAAATTTAATTTTTATAAAATTAATAGACAATTTATCTAAAATTTTAATCTCAATGAAGAAAATTTAATTTTTTTTAGTAATATTTATCTAAATTCTTTTAAGCGAATTCAGGGAAGACAATTTGAAAATTTCAATTCATCGAATTAACTATTTTTTTTTTTAGAAAAAAAAAAAAAGATGCAATGGAATGTGAATTTGGTTTGTGTAACACATTGTGTTGACTTAAATTAGCAAATCACGTCTCTAGCTATAGTAATTATAAATTGGATCGTTGAAAAAGAACTAAATACAATTGTAATTAATTAAACATTAAATGGACTGAAATATAAAGTTTTTTGGACCGTGGATAATGGGCCATAGTAGCCGTAAAAGAAGTATATATGTTCCTATGATGAGCCGGCGGCAAGTGGGGTGTTGAATGCGCGCGTGTTTCCTTTTAAAGCGTGCGAAAAACCTTTGGCGGGGGCCATCATGGCTCGGCTCGAGCCAACTCCAGCAGTGTAGGGGAGAAAAAGAATGGACACGTGTGCAGCTTCGCTGACCTATTAGAAGTTAAAAGGCAAGCCGGTAAAATAATAATGGGCCTCCATTTAACATTTCTGTTGGGTCGGGCGGCCCGCGTTCGATTGCGAAATCCTATCGCATCTGATATTAGGGACCGGTACCGCCACTCGCGGCATCAACATCGTGTTGGAATGCACTTCTTTTTTCTTCAGTATATGGCAAATGGTGTGAAACACGTGGTATGGCATGCGGGTGGAAAAAGAAATCTACGTCGTGACTGCGGAACAGAACAGGGAGGGAGGGAGCTATATAGAATCTCGGTAAATTAAAATTATTTAGTAAATGAGAAATTAAAAATAAAAATACATAAATAAGTGAGAGACGGAATTAATTGGGAACTTAAATTCATGGAATTATTGACTGGGATTTGGATCTGAGCTTATTAAAATCCTTTTCTCAAAAAGTATTTGCATAATTTTATGCTACTGTATACTATTGCCGTAAATACAATTAACTACTGATGCAAATAGGGAGATAGGAGACAGATTCTGATTTCTGAAGTTAGAAATAAATTAGGCACTCTGCCATAGCCCCATTAACATAATAATAATAATAATATTATTATTATTATTAAACCCGGACCGACCCACCAAGTCAACTCAAAAACTGCTGAATCAGCCTTAAAATCAAATTGATTTTGCTGTTAAACCATTTAGAGAAGAGAATCAGATTGAATTGGATGATTCGTGGTTGAATTGATTGACTTGTATAAATTCGATTGATCAGGACTAGTATTTTTGATATTTAATTATTTTTATTATATATTCAGGGACTAGTATTTTTTGAATATTTAATTATTTTTTATATATATATATATTTATTATATATACTACTATATTTGAATCATTAACTCATCGGTTATGTCAATATCCATCCACTCATTTTTTTAGCCAGGTTAAAAGTACGAATTGGGTTTAATAGTGCTAATTATTATTATTATTATTATTTATCCAACTTTTATACATAAGAAAAGTTAATATATTTCTTATATTTTTTTGTGATTTGTTTTCAAAATGAATTTCATATGCATACCACATAAGTGTAAAAAAAAAAAAAATGTTATTTATATTAATTCTTGACGCTTTAAGGCCATTTGGTTTAACTAATTCATATAGTTGATAGTTGATTCGTATCTAAGAGCTAGCTTGTCTAACAACTAATAGTTAATAGAAATTCTAATAGCTATTGATTAGTTTAGCTACGTTTTTAAATTTTTTCGCATAAGCTAATAAGTGATTTGAATACTTTTTTATTTGTATTCTATTAACCTCGAAAAATAATTATTAATGAAATTTTCAAATTAATATTTTTTATCATCATTTTGTTTATATTTATTTAAAAATAAGAATTTATTATTAAATATTATTTTAAAATTTTATTAATGTTTTTTATTTGTATAACACATTAGAATAAAAAAATATTATATTCACTTAAAAAATAAAAAAATGTAATTGTATATCATAATATATCATAAAAATGGTTATATTCTTATATCATAATAATTTTTTTGGGCTTATTTATGACCATGCACTTTAATATTTTATTTTAAATTATTACTGAAATGTAAATTAAATATAAAGTCACGATGGTTCCTGAAAAGTCAAGAGGGCCATAAAAAATAATCACTTAGAAAAGTCACGATGATTCCCTGAAAAGTCACGATGGTTCCCTGCAATTTTGAATTATTACTGAAATATAAAATCAAATATACATTAAACCTATTATTCATCATTAAATTACCTTAAAAGGAAAAATAGAAATAATAATGGAAGGTGTTTCAATTAATTTTCGACTTACTGAGTGAAGGTTTGATTTGTCAACATTTCCTTATAAAAATGCATTTTTTCTAAATTAGTGACAAATATTAAAAAAAAAAATTTTCAGACCTGTCCATGGCCTGATATTTTAGGGTATGTGCTACATTTTGATCCGATTGATAAAAGCACGAGTCGGTAAAACTTCCAACTCATCACAAAAAATGAATTTTTTGAATATAAAATAGAAAAGTAAAAAATGGATTGAAACTGAAGGGAAGAGGATTATTAAAGTTGTAGACGTTGAAGCAGTTCCCTCGGGCTATAAAATGCAAGGTCCATGGTTAGGTCGAGTCCCCTGGCTAACTAGTGATGAGAACGAAGTCTCTGTCGCTTAGATCTCTAAATTCTTTTGTCAAACACACCAAAAAAAACCAAAACCCAAAAGGAGGAATCGAATCAGAAGTGGAATACAGGGAACTTGGGTTTGGTCTCTCGCTTTCAACTTCCACTTTAAAAGGAACAAGAGTGAGTTAATCAGTGAGTGTGAGAAAGCAAGGAATTTCAAAGCCAAATATATGAACACTATTGCACAGTAGCAGCAGCAGCAGCAGCAATATTAGGTGTAGCGCTATTATATATATTGGCTTGTTTTAACTTGATATGGTATAATTAAATAGGTGTGAGAACAGAAAAGGGTCTTTTTCATTTCCTTCAATATATCTGCTCTTAGGTGACCATTGAAACAAGTTTGGTTTTTTTCACTTTCCTTCTTTTGAGGTCTCGCCGTCTTTGGAGTTCGGCTCTGCCTTTTGTCTGTGAAGATTAATTGGTGGCGCATTTAAAGTCAAGTCTTTACTAAGGAGATCTATAGCAGGAGAGATTTTCTTTGTTTCTTTAATTATATCGAGTTGTTTCAAGACATTTATGGTTATCTCTGCAAAATCTTGGAATTGAAAATTCTAAAAAAATTCTTTCTTTATCCATCTTCTGCTCTCGTCCAACCAACTGCACATAATTGATAGCCAGAAAACAGGGAAGCAAAAGTTGATATATCAATTCAAGCCAAAGACAAGCTTTGAAAACTTAGTCAGTGATAAGCAACGGATCTGTGATTTGGGTTTTCTTCTGCAATTCTTTTACGCGAAAGAGACATCTCAAGACCCTTTAGTTTGGTTAGTGAACTCTGCTATAGCAAGCAACCTCTTTTTGTTTTCGAAAACTGTTTGCGGTTTTTCTTTTTGTGGCTTTTCTTTTAAATTTTATACCAAGTTTAACTCTTTATAAAGTGAAGAGCGTCTGGTTTATTTGCTTGTATCTAATATATATGTTGGCTTTCGTTTTCTGGGGTTGCGTTTTAGAGTATAAGTTTTTGTCTCATTTACTGTCTTTTATATGTTTCAGATCTACCAGGATTTAGACGTTGCTTTTAGAGAAAAACGAAGACAATGTTGCCGCAAAAGCAAGCAGAAGAAGCAATTGTCCCCAACTTTAGCGAGACAGAAAATGAAGCAAGACAAGAAGAACTAGAAGATGAACACTCTATGTTTAATGTCAAAAGCTTTCTCTGGCACGGAGGCTCCGCCTGGGATGCTTGGTTCAGTTGCGCTTCTAATCAAGTATATACATCAAATGACAAAACTAATCATTTTTAACAACAAATTTTGACGATAAATAAATATTCTGTTATTGTTCTTTGTTCTTGCAGGTAGCACAAGTTTTACTGACACTGCCTTATTCGTTCTCTCAACTGGGTATGCTGTCAGGAATACTGTTCCAAATATTCTATGGACTTATGGGAAGTTGGACTGCTTACCTTATAAGTGTTCTCTACATAGAATACAGAACTAGAAAAGAAAAGGAGAATGTTAGCTTCAAGAACCATGTTATCCAGGTTTGTTTCTTGCTCTCTTGCTTAAAACTATAAATACCCACTACTGATATCTAATCCTCAAGGCCTCAAAATAAAATTTTAATCTTTTCCCCCTTTTTCTTACAATGACCCAAAATGTCTGCTATGTACTAAAATAAAAAGCACATTATACTAATTTTTAATCTTTTTTTGTTTGTGTTACAGTGGTTTGAAGTTCTTGATGGGCTACTGGGTCCGTACTGGAAGGCAGCAGGACTTGCCTTCAACTGTACTTTCTTACTCTTTGGATCTGTTATTCAGCTTATTGCTTGTGCAAGGCAAGATACATGTTTTTTTCTTTATTTTCTAGTTTTTGTCATTAATTGCTAAGAAATCCAATCTGGATTTTGCTTTTCATTGATTTTTAACTACTGTTATTTCTTTGATCAATACAGTAACATTTACTACATCAATGACCACTTGGACAAGAGGACATGGACTTATATTTTTGGAGCTTGTTGTGCTACCACAGTTTTTATCCCATCCTTTCACAACTACCGCATTTGGTCTTTTCTTGGCCTTGGCATGACCACTTACACCGCCTGGTACCTCACCATAGCCGCCGTTGTTCACGGCCAGGTAACATTTTTAAAGACAGAAGCTCCATCCATCTCTAACAATTTAGGAGCCTGTGGTATAATTTTTCACGTCCTTGCAGGTAGAAGGAGTAACCCACACGGGTCCAAAAAAGCTGGTGCTATACTTCACCGGAGCAACCAACATCCTCTACACCTTTGGTGGACACGCAGTGACTGTGTAAGCTTTTACTTTTTAACCGCACTATTATAATTTTCGCCTCTTTCACTTGCTTCTACGCGGCTTCTCTTTGCAGCTTTTGCCGGTCTCCTTGGAGTTCGAGACCCCCAGACAGTATCATGCAGATTTTATTTTTTGCTTCCACATCCATTTCTCTATGTCTAGGACAATTGAACAGTTAAATATATAGTTCCATTCTAAGTTGTTTCAAAAGTAATTAACATAATCCTGCTTGTTTGTCTTTTCTTAATCATCTTAGTTAAACAGTATTGATAATTTTGTCTAGTTGTGTAGTAACTAAGAATCCAATGGCAGTAAAAAATAATGTATATAGTTAATTTTCGTTTTTCTTTTTTTTTTTTTTTTTTTTTTTTTCGTTTTGCTTTTTTTGTTTTTTTTTCTTTTACAGAGAAAATCATGCAGCCATGTGAAAGCCTCAAAAGTTCAAGTACATTTTTTTTTTTTTTTTTTTTTTTCTTACAGAGAAATCATGCACGCCATGTGGAAGCCTCAAAAGTTCAAGTACATATATTTGTTAGCTACACTCTACGTTTTCACATTAACTCTTCCGTCGGCTTCCGCCGTTTATTGGGCTTTTGGAGATGAACTTCTCAACCATTCTAATGCCTTCTCTCTCCTTCCCAAAAACGGCTTCCGTGATGCTGCCGTCATCTTAATGCTTATTCATCAGGTTAAATTCCTTGAAAAGTTTCCATTGTTTTGGGAGTTACAAAGAATGAAAATATACATGCACAGAAAAACTAATATTCATAAAATTTTTTATTTTCGTTGATTTGGTATATGGGAGAGCTCATGTTATATAAATCTAATTTGACGGAGGTGAATTTTTTTTGGAACAATGCAGTTTATAACATTTGGATTTGCCTGCACACCGCTGTACTTCGTATGGGAGAAGGTAATAGGGATGCATGACACAAAGAGCATATGTCTAAGAGCACTTGCTAGGCTGCCGGTGGTTATACCAATTTGGTTCTTAGCAATTATCTTCCCTTTCTTTGGGCCCATTAATTCAGCTGTTGGAGCTCTTTTGGTCAGCTTCACCGTTTACATTATCCCTGCCTTAGCCCATATGCTTACCTACAGAAAAGCCTCCGCCAGACAGGTAAAATAAAAAAAATAAAAAAAAAAAAAGTGAAAAACTCACTTCTTTAGCTTCCCAATCCCCCATTTGCTCACTCGCTTTTAAATTTAATTCCTGATTTTTTTATATTTATTAATTATTCTTATTATGAGAAAAAAAATTCATTGATGTTAGAAAAATTGAATGAAAGTAAAAATTTGGTGTAATTGTAATTAAGTGGATTTGGAAAGGGTATGTTTGTCAAAACATAGTTAGTGGACGGTCCGCGTTTGATGGGGAATCCCAAAATGCACAGTAGTGTCCTAATAAATGAGAGCCCGAGTGCCAGTATAGCCCGCAAGTGTACAAAGAGAGCATTTAAGACTTGGATTTGGAAATATAGTGGAAGATAATATAAAACTATAAAAGTATATTTAGATAGGTGGCGAGTCCTTTTCGTTTAGTTATATATGCTACAGTTGGACAGTCCTTCTCTGTCTTTCAATTAGCTGGCTATGACTGGACCCCTTCTTGCTCTCACATTTGTCTTTCAATTAGCGGTTTAGAATTTGAAACCGCTGTTGCTGAAAGAATAAAACACGTGGTTAGTCTGGTAGCCTCGCTACATCCGTGAATGATTATAAAATATAATTAATCACAGTAGTGATTAGATTACAGAAGATCATTATCTTATCTCAATTGTTTTTTTTTAAGTTGAATTTTAACTAGGAATGGTGATTTGTGATTTTGCAGAATGCGGCAGAGAAACCTCCATTGTTCTTACCAAGCTGGACGGCGATGTACGCGTTAAACGCGTTCATAGTGGTGTGGGTATTGGTGGTTGGTTTTGGGTTTGGTGGGTGGGCTAGCATGACTAACTTTGTCAAGCAAGTTGACACTTTTGGGCTATTTGCCAAATGCTACCAATGCAAGCCTCCTCCACCTCCTACTATTACTGCTAATGCTACTATTACTACTCACCACCACTGAACTATAGTTACCCGCCTGTGACTTTTGAGAGCCAAAACTCACCAACATATTTTGTATCATACATGGGGAGGTATAGAGCAATCAAAGTATCCCTCTACTACATGTCATGTGTGCTGGATTTTGCTTATTTTTTAGTTGCTTTTCTTTTTTTTTTTTTTATTTAATTTTTTTTTTATTTTCTTAAATTAGTTCATAAAAAATAGTGTGTTTAATTGTGGTGATTCCTTTGCTACTAAAGCATAGGCTAATTAATTAAATCAGAATATCATATATAAATGTTCTTAGCCTTCTTTAATATTCTCCTTCACCTCTGCTTGTTTATTTCTTTTTGGATATCATATTATATACAAAATTTTTTAGTTCGAAGTAATGATAGCTTCCAATGTCATTATTACAAGCATGTTCCGAAGCATAAAAAAATTGTTAAAACGGTATGGGTCTCTCCATAAATGTAATAATAATTATTATGAATTATATATTTATATATATTAATATTAATATTTTAATGTAACGTGGGTTGGTCTAAGAAGGCCATGTGTGGACATGGTTGAGTGGCCCTTTTGACCCCTTAGATTCTGTTTAGTGAGTGGGCCGTGGGCCCAACTTTACAGTCACATGGGTTGCACGTTGGCTCATCTGTTAGTCACGTGCCTGGCTTTACTCCTAAATATTCTCTATCTTAAAAACTCGCTTGGGAACTCAATGATATTCATGAACCTTGTATTTATAATGATATATATAAGAAGAGTGTTAATCTTAACCAAACCTTTTAATTAATTTTATATGAGATCTTTGACCCTTCTAATTGTTAATTAATATTAATTGCACATGTACCCAATATTGAGGTGTCCGCTTGCTGTTTTCCTTAATTTATTCTTATTTTATGTACAAAGTGTGTAAATGTCTCCTTTAACAATGCTGTTGACTATCTACTCAAAAGCTTTATTAGAGATTACTCAATTTCGTTTTGAATTAAAAATTGAATTTTTAGAAAAAATTTTATCAAAACCGAAATAATTACATTAATAAAATTTCAACGTATATATTATTGGGTTTTGGTTTTATAATTATAAAAATCAATCAAACAAAATTTATCAAAACTTAAATCATTAAAATTGAATTGGGTCGATTCGATTTTTAGTTTACCAAACCGAAAAGGTATAGAAACCAGCACCAATTGCCTGCCTACCCACATTTCTATAGCTATTTGATTGTCAAGCTTTCACATTATATTGTAACAATGAGCATGAGACGCAATGTAAATATTAATAATAAAATGAAGAAAATCAAGATTGTTGGAAAATTAAAAATAAAATTTATATTTAAATAGAGTATAATTTAACCCAATCAAAGCATAATTAATAATTAAAAAAAAAATTACGTATAGAAGATTTATAAGCCTTAAAATCTTGTAGTCTTTGTTCCTTTGATTTGAAGAGGTAGATTCTCTCTCTATTCACCTCCTTTCTTACAATATTCAGATGGTTATTAGATTTAATAAATTTCAAAGATTTGTTTTAGATTAAACAAATTGAATCTTAAATCATTGAACATTTTAATTCATAAAATATGCATATTAGGTTTATTATTTTTAAATGACTTCTAATATAATTAATTTTAAGTATCAAGTCTTAATAAATAATTTCAAAGATCGATTTCTTGTTATCTCTTGCTAGTGAGATAAGAGTGCGTGACAAACAAGTGAATGAAATCACTAAAATATATCTATCAACACAAACTCATAACTTGTATTTGATTATTTTAGAAGGATCACTTTCACCTCTTAAATTAATTAAGAAGCTAATTAAAAATAAATCTCGCAATTCTAAAAATAATTTTAAAATCACTTAATCAAAATGCACTGAGTATATATATTTCTACCAAATTACATTAGTGACAATAATTACAATTAGAGATCTTAAATTAAATTCACTCCTGGCGATAGATATTATACAAGTATACATTGGAATGCAGATTTCATATTATCGATATGAGTTGAAAATGGTAATTCAACAAAAAGAAAATATTTGTTAAAATAATATGATTGCGGTGTTCTCCTGTAGATTCTATTAAATATCACCTTTTTTAGAGAGGTTAATTTTAATACAGATTGGTTTGCGATGATTAATTCATTCTCGGAAAGTTAATTTAAATGGAGAAAGATTGTTCAAATTTTACGTTTTGAATAAAGACGTTATCTCAAACCAATATAGGATAATACATGATATTACCGTTCTACTGTATAACTTTTGGACACTCCCAAATTGAATTGAAGAATATTTATTAAGAGCAACTTGTAGCTTACTCATCTCGGATTCTTTTTAACTAGAAACCTATCTTCCTCGATAAGATATGTTGGCTGGAGAGTTGATATTAATTATATTGTAAGAGATTATTGTTGCCAAAGATTCTTACAATTGCCGTTACAGGAAGTTGCATCTAGATCTGATATTCAATGTCAATTGTGCAATTTGCAAGAAACAGCAACTTGAAGGAACGGAAGCTTTCTTTTATGGTAGTAAGAAAAGGCTAACTTGTAAATGAACTATTCTATTGTTGATGAATAACTGGAAACACTTTCTGTTTTGTTACGAGAGCATGTGGAAATGTGCGTCTTGAAACTCTAAAATTTGTATTATGACATTGACATGTTACTTGTAATTATGTTTAAGATATAAATCTTGTACCTGATTCCTTGGAACTTCAGTTATTTCAACTAAGCTGTAGGCCAAAAGGAGTACACAAATTTTTTATAACCCAAAACATATAGACTTCTACGTATCCTTTTTTTAAAAAATTATATTACTTGAACCTTTTCACCAACTATTTAATAAATTGGTGAACTACTGTTTAATTAATGTGTTGTTTATTATATTATTAGAAACTTTAATTTTAAAATTAATTTAATTGACATACATGCATTCTTCCACTTTTTTAGTATGAACTAATATTTTTCTTCCAGTTATGAAGTATAAACGTTTTAGCTCTTTTAACAAATAATTTTATATAAATTGAATTTATAACTCACCTTTAATCATTGTTTTTTTTTATAATATTTTTCCATATATTCCTTTTGGTAGAATTGGTATTTGTTTTCTGTTAATCAATTAGAAAAAATAAAAAAATTAATAAATACATTTTATAGGTCTAATGCAGACAATAATGGAGCTTGGTTAAAGGGTTTTGTAGCTAGATTTGAAATTTGTTCCATTCTTTCTGCCGAACTATGGGCTCTTTAAGAAGGTTTGAAGATAGGTAGATCTTTAGGTGTTCCGAGGATTTTGATTGAATGCGATAATCTAATCGTGGTTTAATAGATCAACGATAATGATACCGCTTTTCGCGCTATTCATTAACTTGAGTTATTTGTTAGAAAGTTTTTAAACTCGATTGAGATCGTCGTATTCACCATATTTAGAAAAAAAGCTAATTTTTATGTTGACTATCTTGCTATTCTTGCCTCATCTTCTTCGTTAGGAACTCCTCTTTGATATTTAACAAAGAAAATATTACAAACATTAATTTAAAAATATCATTACATTAATTATAACTAAAATATCCCTTCCAACAACTAGTTTGAAGAGGAATTTTGCAAATCAGGCCCATAAATGGGCTTGCAGTAGATGCTCATGAAACTATATTAGATCCAAAACCAAACCCAAAATGCCCATTTATGGATCCGTTTCTAAAGGGACTATAAACTGGGTTGCCAACGTAAAACTTGAATCTTCAAATGAGTTTGAGTAAATTCCTTTTGGGTCAGATTCGTTATAAATTGGTTAACTGGATAAGGCCTTGAATGGGCCACGATCCACTCCATCACAAGAGTTTCGTGATTGCTTCTTAAACGGTCCGTGAAGTCTGAGCAAGGACCTTTCCTCCAAGCTCAGTGATGCCCTCGTTAATGGTTACTTGTTGATATTGAACTAAAAAAATGTTGTAACGGAAGGAGAAGAAAAAAGTGAATTTTCAAGAAAATAGAACACAGAATCTACTTCAAGAGCTGCTATATACTCACTTGTGTTAAACTACTAGTCTAAGAAGATTAGAAAGATTCTGTGCTAATGGAATCTCTCCAGGATCTTTGTAGCCATCCTTCTTTTCTTGGAACCATTTTCTGCTGGCGTGTTCTTGACAAGAAATGCCTAGTGAGGTTTAACTGCGGTGACTTTCTGCGACCAATCAATGGTTTCAGGATTCTATACCCTTTTTAGAATCTAAAGGTTCTGATAAAATCATTAAACATCCAAAAGGGTGAGCTTTCAACTGACTTTCAATTGCTATGAACTCTCTTCTTGTAAAAGATTTTGCAGGTGAAATCCATGTCATGTAAAATTTAACCTGACATTTCTTGTCAAAAAATTCAAGAACACGGCTGTGAAATTCTTGAATTGATCCGAGGCCTTTTCCGAAACTGTGACACTTCTGAATCAACTAATTCTTTAACTTCAATTGAAGAAGATTGCGTATGAACCCCAGAGAGCAAACAATCTGCAGAGAAAATAAAGATTATAGCAGTAATAATGATACTAGAGAGGATAATTGTCTTGGCATGGCCAAGCCTATAATCTAACATTTTATGAGAAACGTTTCTCATTCTGATATTGATGGAGAAAGAAAAAAGAAACTTTGGGTAAGAAGAAGAACTAATGTCTTCAATTAAATTCCACTACCAATCCATCCATCCAGATTCCAGAATTAGAAACTGGAACCTGGAAATCGTTACATAGACAGAGCCACTAATCACGCTCTCATCTTTTTCCTGTTTTTCATATTAAGGCTGTAGATTGGTCTAGAAAGGAAAAATTGACTATGTTCAGTTATATATCCAGCTTGCTTTCTAGTTCGAAACTACTCAACCTCAGAGGAACTGGGAGCAATTAACTACATGATTTATTTCTAGAAATCGTATCATTTCCAATAAACAAAAGAATTACTTTGTAATTGCACTTCTTTAGTTTTTAGTTTCTTTGGAAACAACTTCTTTTGTTAACCATTGTGTTGTATATCAGTGATTGATATTTTTCTTTCACCTTCTTTCTTATTGATGCTATCTTTTTATCTAATGCTTCATCCTACTTTCAATTCATTCTTTTATTATTGTGCACTTGATTCTTCTTTTTGTTTTTACAGTTTTAGAGGGTAAATTATATTTTATACTTTCTGGAGTTTCAATCTAACAGGCCCTTCACTTGAGTAAATTTCTTTTGGGCCAATTTGTTATAAATTCCGCTTATTTCATAACTGGACAAGGTCTTTTAACTGGCCCAGGATCCACTCCATCAAAAGAATTAAGCGATAGCTTCTTCATAAGCGGTCTGTAAAGTCTGAGCAAGGACCTTATCCTCGAAGCTCAGTGATGGCGTCGTTAATAGCGAGAGCTCTACCGATTATTCCTCAGTCACTGAACTCATCTTCTCGCTTATCGTCGTCTCAATCCGAAAACCTAGGCATTTCTCTTTCCTATTCAACACCAACTCTGTCCCTTTCTCTCTCTACCGCTTCCTCTTCTTCAGTCCCATTTGGTAAACTAGCTCTCTCTCTCTCTCTCTCTCTCTCTCTCTCTTTAAATTCATGTTATAATCATGCTATTTTCAGTTTTACTTCATGTTCTGATGCTTTGGTTACAGTGTATTGCGGAAGAGGAGACAGGAAGACCGCGAAGGGGAAGCGATTCAACCATTCGTTTGGGAACGTGAGTATATTAGGTTAATTTTGCTAAATTTTGTTGATAAATTATAATTAAGCATAAAATGGTGGTTAATTTTGCATTAGGCGAGGCCTCGGAACAAGAAGAAAGGTAGAGGACCGCCGAGAATACCAGTTCCTTCTTCTCCGCCTAAACCTGATCGATTTGAAGAGGACCAAGTTGTTAAGATCGATATCGATGAGTCTCTCACTTAACGTTTTGTAATTCCTAAAACCTCTAATTTGCTTCTGTTATGATTAGCATTGTATGTGTTGTGTTGTTGCCTTGCCAATTAGAATTCTATTGAGCCTTATGAATTTCCAGCAACTTATCGTTTGATTCTTTGATTTTTTTTTCTTTTAGTTGCTTATTGTGTTTGGGTTAGAACAGTTCTTTGACAAAAGAATTGTTAGAGATGGATAACCCTCTTATTATTCACCTGTTCTTCTGAAGGTTTTGTTATCTTAAAACTTGAACTGACCTGTGTTTATGCGGGTGATATGCTGGTCAAATGAATTTTTAGACATTTTATTACGGCTTATAATGAAATGTAATTACAATGGTTTTGATTACATTATATTCTATTATGACTAAACAAACCTGCCCAACTCATAATTGGCGAATTCATAGGTTGGAATCCTAAAGGACGCACACAAACGATGTCTTCCACTAGGGAAATAAACGAGCCGAGCTTGAATCTATTAGGCTTGATATAATTTAGCTCTATTCGAAATTTGATGAACTTGAAAATTTTAAGTTTGAACTCGGCTCAATGAAAGCTCGAGCTCAACATGAAGTTCAACTCGAAAGCTCAAGTTAGAGTCTCAATTTTTGAATAAATTTAATATATATATAAGAGCTTAATAATGCTTAATAATTTTTCAAGCTGAACATTAATAGATTCGAGCTAAGCTGAAACAATGAGCGAGTTCCTATCTTCTACAATGAAATAAGTGAGATATCGAGTGTTTTCAGATTATAGTACCTTGAATTATTTTCAGATTATAATACCTTGAATTTTATGTTCCAAAACGCATTAAGATTAAATTATGAATTTATGAGTGTTTAAATTGTTTTTTAAATGGATTATCAGAATGCCCAGCTGTCCCTGGTCAAAAGAATAACTTTAACCAAAGAAGCTTCATTCGTTTATCATTACAAGAGGATTTTTCTTTAGATGACATGGTTTCAAAAATTAATATACACAATTTTCAAGCTTGGCGACTAATTAAGATCGAAAAGTCCAAATTTATATATGCCTTGCAATTTTTTATATTTAGTCAATTTGGAACTTTTCTCAAATCATGTATCCAGCCGTTTCGAGTGATTTTAGACTATCAGCACGCCAGATCCAGCTGCTGCCATTATCAAATGCAGTAAGGGAAAAGAAGTTAATTAAACAAAGCTAAAAGGATTAGACAAATAACCTACTGAAATCAGGAGTTCTGAATGATAACGTTCAAGAATTAATATGATATGATAGTCTGTTCCTGCGTATCGGAAAAAGAAAGAAAGAGTTAATGCAGTAATTCTAAATAACAACACCTTATAGCATGCCTCACACAGTCATTAAACTTCAAAGAACAATATAATCATAAGGAAGGGAGTTAGGAATTCAAAGCCCTAAAGTTCCTGAAATGGCTTTCCCATATACCCAAAAAATTAAAACTATTGCACCTATCTGAAGTTGTTCACTGTGAATTGGCATCAAAACTACACAGTGAATAGTGAATACCTTCTTTGTCAATTACTCCAGAAAAGCCACATTTTATACTAAGTTTTAGACTGCAAAAAATCTGATACAAGATTGCTTTAGTAAGTTGCTTGGAACAATTTGCGGCAAGGACTAAAGGCCTAGAATATATCAGCAGTGGTTCTGAGAAATTAAGAGAACCTTACAATGGCTTGACATGCTGGGAATCCTCTTGAAAGAGAAGAGTGCCAGTTTTTTTGTAACTTTCTTTTTTTATAAACTTATTCACTAAACTAAATTCAAAAAAAAATTATAATGATTATGTGAACTTATGGATTGAGCTGTAAACAGTACATTTACTTAGAAAAAACAAACGTTTGATTAGATCAATCAAGTCAATCAAGTTAATCAAGGACCAGGCTATCGAGTGACGATTGGTCAAGGGTAGTGCCACCATGCAGCAGGGTAGATCTACGATGCTCCTTGATTAGAACCTCTTGGAGGTCCAAATGGTTCGGACTTGAGTAGGTTGAAAAAAAGACATACAACCTTGACAAGAACGCCGTTCCGTAGGATATTGATCCATTCGCTTTTAGGTTCATTGAATTTTGTAAGTGGTATAGTTACCGAGATCAATGCAGTCAATTACGTCTCTCATAGACATTGGTTAGCTACCTCTAATTTTGCTCCAGAGTTCTTTCTATTCATAGGTCATTTATAACACACGGAAAAAACTCATGCGATTTTTGAGAAATCAAGAGTTTAAATTAGACCAATTTAAAATTATTTTGAGTAACCTTATAAAAGAGATTTAATTACAAATACCTAAATAAATGCATTTTTCAAGTTTGGATTAGATTTAGATAATTGTTTGAAGTGAATTTTGACTTGTTAATTCAAGATGCCTATCAAATGTGCATTTTATGCTTCTAAATAAGTGCATTATTTAATAGTGGGACATGTTGAGTTCTGTCTTCATCCATCTTGGAGCAAGAATTTTTCGAAGCACCATTCAGTTAGAGGTGCTTGCATTTATTTGTTAGAAGGGAATCACTTTTCTTTCTTGATTCGTATATGCATTTGATTCACTGTTGGATAAACTATTTTCTTGATTTGGCTTCTTATAGGATATACACCGCGAATAAAATATCATTAAACACCTTTCAGCAGGCCAGTATTTTTCAATCTTGTCCTTTTTTACCAACCTTCCTCTGAAACAGATGCAGTAGAGAATTTTTAGGTACAGCCGGCTTTTCCCCAGTTCTGGGTTTCCTATCCTGAAAAAGAACTGTATTTTTATCTGTCAATCTGTATGATCTTGTGCGAAAGTATATCTAGAATTCAATGACACCGGAGATAAGAGAAGTCAAGGATGATGATGATGATGATGACAGAAATTGCTTCATTAACACAGAAGCTGAGAAGAAAAGGATTAGACAGATCATACAGTATCAAAAATCATTATATCGGTCTTCTTCCTCCTCACCCGTTGCTTCCTCTTCCTCGTTCTCTTCATCAAGTAGAAGTGGCAATTTGCTGCACTTGATGAAAACTGGAAACACATCTCTTAGGAGATTATTTGACATGGAACATACTTCTTTGGCATCTCATTTTCAGTGCTATAGCGGTTCTCCTGTTATACAGACTATACCTCTATGGGGCAGTGAAACTGATGATGAAATTGATGATCCATGGGCGGATATCAAACAGATTGGGACTTCCAAAGTTGCTGGAAATGACAGACCTAGTAATTTTGCCTCTGATGGTAGCTTTGTGGGTGGAGAATTCGGTTTCAAGGATAAAAAATCAATAAGAGGAAGAAGGAAGTTGACTAGAAAAAAAGCATTTAGAAGATTGCCAGGATTTTGTTTTTGGAGGTGGGGAAGATTTAGAATGAAACGGCTTAGGATTATGATCTGTGATAAAAAGTTTTGATATTTGAATGTATGCGTGCAACTTTTTAATCAGATATTGAACAAACTTACACAATTACACATAAATAGAAATGTTAAAAAGGGAAAAGAAAAACTAAAAAAGAAAACTGAAACAACATGTTTTCAAATTTTTATTTATTCCTTGTATGAATTTGTTATCAAATTGCTATATTTACATTAGGATCAAACAAAGAAACCAAGAGATTGACAAAACAGAAGAAAAAAAAAAGGATAAAGGTTGTAAACAAAAGAAAAGATAAAAGTGAATTTCAAGAAAACAGAACAGAATCTACTTCACGAGCTGCTATGAGTATTCACAAATCACACATTGATCAGAGATTAACCTGGCCATAACGCTTCCTTCTTCTATTCTAATTCTGCTGCTCTGCTTGTTCCATAAATGTACACCATAAGTATCTCCACTGAGTTGAAGCAGTTTCGCTTTTACCCATCTGGAATCTGCCTTATTTCCTGGTTTCTTGAAAAATCCTCCTATCTTATTCCAATTAACTGGATAGAACGCCATTGGTGGCAATACAGTGAAGTTAAATCCAGGTCTTCCTGATAATTTCTGAGCTACTCTGGAGACTAAGTAAGGTCCATTATGACCCCATTTATTTCCATCAAAAGTTGCAGCAAATTCCTCTATAAACTTGAATAAAACTGGATGTTCCCTGTCAAATACCAGAACTGCATTATTCAATCTTGTCCAGTTTCTAGATACTGCATCAATACTTTGTGCTCCAATTGAATTGCGCAATCCGATGAAACTTTTTAGTACAATGAAATCCGTGTCCAAATAAATACCTCCATATTTGTATAAAACAAGGAGTCTAAGAAGATTAGAAAGATTCTGTGCTAATGGAATTTCTCCAGGATCTTTGTATCCGTTCTTCATTTCTTGGAACCAAGTTTCTGCTGGTGTGTTCTTGACCAGAAAAGCCAAGTCAGGTTTAACTGCAGTAACTTTAAACCTACGATCAATCAATGGTTTCAGGATTCCATACCCTTTTTTAGAATCTAAAGACTCTGATAGAATCATTAAACATCCACAAGGGTGAGCTTTGAACAGACTTTCAATTGCTATGAACTCTCTTCTTGTAAAAGATTGAACAGGTGAAATCCATGTCATGAAAAATTTAACCTCACATTTCTTGTCGAAAAATTCAAGAACTCGATTGTGATATTCCTGACTCGAATTGTTTGACTTGAAAATCTTGATTTCCGGCAGCTTTTCTCGAAACCATTGGATTCTTTCTGCTTCTGTAACATTGAAAGGAGGAACTAAAGAATTCTGGTTTTCTGTATAAACGACTTCTTCAATTATCAATTCATGCGTAGAATGCAACTGTATGTGTTCTCTAATAGTTGACTTCATTATTCTTTCAGTTTTATGAATCTGAGACACTTCTGAATCAAACTCTTTAACTTCAATTAAAGAAGATGATATATGAACCATAGAAACCAAACAATCGGCAGAGAAAATAAAGATAATAGCAGCAATAGTAATACTAGAGAGGAAAATTGTCTTGGCATGGCCGCCAAGTAGCCTACAATCTAACATTTTACGAGAAACGTTTCTCATTCTGATACTGATGAAAGAAAGAAAGAAAGAAAGAAAAAAGAACTTTCGGTAGGAAGAGGAAGAACTAATCTGTATCTAAAAAATTTTCATGGAGTTGAGACAAAAGTTATTTGATGACGGAAATCATAGAGAAATTTTCAATGTTTGATTTTTCTGTTGTTTTGGTCTAATTAAAGCTTTGCGTTTTGGTCTGACTTTGAAACGAGGAACCTATTTCTTCTTGAGTCATACTTGGAAGGGTAAAGTGAAGCCGCCATTCACACGTAAGAAATATTTTACATATGTTTATCATTGTGAGGCGATGACGTGACAAAGCGTGGTTATTATAATAATCTATTATTAGGGCTCCCTTTGATTTCATAAAATAATTTTTAAAAAAATAATTTGCCTAAAAATATCATGAAAATATTGAAAATATTTTTCAAATAATTCATTTTCCGTTATTTGATTGTAATATTGAAATTAGTAAAAATATTAAAGTCTTCATCTCAAGACCATAAAAAATATTAATAATAATATAAATTTTATAATTTGAAAATTTATTGTTAAATACGAAAAAGAATGAAAAAGAATATATAAATTATGAAAGTCGTCGTTGGCCAATGGTGACTGGTGGTAGTGACTATGATAATTAATAAATTAAAAAATATGAATTTATAAGATTTGCTGATATCCGGAAAATGTTTTACGTTTTCGAAATGGGAAGTTGTTTTCTTTAAAAAATGACTTAATTTATAATAAATTAAAAAATATTGAATTTATAAATTTGCTGAATATCAAAAACGGGAAAATGTTTTACGTCTATTCGAAAAGGGAAGTTGTTTTCTTTAAAACTATAATAATTTCCTTTGATTAGAGAAAAATATTTTCTGTCTGACTTATTCTTTTCTAATGCAGCTCACCCAAACAAACAAAATCTATGGAAATCATTTCTTATAAAATATTATTAAAAAATATGAATTTATAAGATTTGCTGATATCCGGAAAATGTTTTACGTTTTCGAAATGGGAAGTTGTTTTCTTTAAAAAATGACTTAATTTTCCTTTGATTAGGAAAATATTTTCTGTTGACTTATTTTTCTAAGCGCTCCCAAACAACGAAAAATTATGGGAAATATTTTCTTATAAATTATTTTACGGAAACAAACGAAGCCTAATTCCTTAATCGATATCTTAGGCATATAGTTTATTTGCCCATTAAAGGTCATTTTCTGTACCGTTCAGTTTATTTGATTTTGATAATAGTTGTTATTAGCCACTTTGCATTCTAATTCTCTTGAGTTTTCTTGGAAGGATATATGATAAAAGGCTTATGCACCAAACCAATAATTAATTGCCATATAAAAAATGTTGGTTTATATTTTTTTTATAATAAATTGACACACAAATACTTAGGTTCCGAAAAAAATACATTTCAAAAAAGTGGATAAGACATCTTATATATTTTGGCCTGTTTAGCAGCAGTGCAGTGTTTAGTGTTTTGATTACGTTAAAATATTATCTTAATTAATTGTGGTGTTAATATGAGTGTTTAGTGGTTTAATTGAGTTAAAATACTATACTAGTACAATATCTATCCCAGCACAGAGTTTGAGAGCGTTTAGAGTTGGAGAGAATGTTTTATGAAACATTATCTTTATTAACATTTAGCTTTTTATAAATTTTTTTATGATATATATAATCATCACTTATCTTTATCTTGTTTCTCACTTTTTTTTTTTTTTATCTTTTTATATAAAACAACTAATCAAATCAAATAGTTCGAACACTGATTTTCTAAACCGCTGACAGCTATTAAAACAGCTATTAGAATAGCTATAGAACATGGCTTCTATCTGTTCCAAATTTTTATCCTGTTGACTTTTACACGAAATTTAAAATACAAAATAATTATGATGCCACATTATACAAAATATCTCTACTTTTTTAAATTTATTCTACTTTAAAAAATGATTATTCCTAGAACTTAAAATTATTTATAATGAGAGGCATAAAAGGAAAAGTAAATATTAAGTCAATTGAACAAATATTTTATTGGGACATCTAAAAGGGGAAACATGGACGCTTTGGAATAGATGGAGTATTATATATAATGTTTAATGATAGAATACATAAATTTCACTTCTGAACTTTTTAACATTAACTTTGTGATACCTTTAACTTTTATTTTGACTCATCAAATATTTCAACTTATAAAAATACATTTATTAAATACTTAATTTTCAAAATTATTTTATTGAACACTTCAACTTACAAAATTAGATCAATTAAGCACTCGATAAGTAAAATTTATGGAAATTATTATTTTAAAAGTCATGCTAACTACATATAAAATTAATATTTTATAGATAAATGCTGAAAATTCTAAAAATTATTAATATTAGTGTCGAGATGTGTGTTATATCATTAAAATTTACAAATTCAAGTACATGATAAAACATTCACAAAGTTTAAAATGTCACAAAGTTAAAATTATAAAATTTAGAGGTGAATTTATGTATTTAGCGAATGTTTAATTGCTTATAATTCTCCTAAATATCCTAAACCGATCAAATGCTGCAGTTTTAAAAAGTTAATTAATCATTTAATCATAAATTAATATGAACTTTTCCTATAATATTGAAACATAAATTAATCATTTAATTAAAACGGAATAATTCAGCAGCAAATAGTACTTATAAGATTAATCACCATAGTTTAAGACGAATAAAAACTAGTCAAATTTACCGTGGACCGTTAAAATGGATAAAGAAACTTTGTGAAAGTATAAAAGAAAAAAAAAAAAAGGATAATTTTTTTTTAGAGAAGCACATAATAATGTTATTGCGGTAGTTCGATAATTGGAGCTTTCATGGAGTTGTACCACTCAAAGACCCACCATTTATTTTGCTATAAACTGCAGCCAGTAGTTATATATATGGTCTTTTCATGCCTTAAAAGATTGACAGTGGCTTTGCCTTGTCATGTGCATTCAATTGTTTTTTTGTGAATCCACACAAATTGTTTTCATGGATGTAATTTTCCTCAATTAACACTGTACACATTCATATATGTCTTCAAAATTATTAAAATGATGTATAATATTTATTTCCTGTTATAATATATATTTTGACTTTTTATTGGTTCAAAAAAGTGACTCAATATAGGAACTATTCCATCCGGCAAAAGGCCGATGTATGTACATTTTTCGTATTTTTATAGATAAATTATTTCTATCTCAAACCTGCGACCTCCAAATTATAAGTAGAGTAACTTTAACTTCATGTTTAAATTTAACTTAATTTATAAATAATTTTATTTCTTACCTTTTTTTTATTAGAAATTTTTTATAGAACACACTGTAAGGGATTTTTTTTTTTTAAAGAATTTCTAGATTTAGCATGAATATATTTTTGATTATATTGAGAAGACAAATTAAGTAGAATGCACAAAAACTGACAATGAATACCATCTTGTTACTTAAATACAACCAAGATATATATAAAAATAAAAATAACAAAGGCATATATATATATATATAGACCCATAAAGAAAGTTAATTAAAATTATTTTAACAAAATATTAACAATTAAATAATTTAATACTTATCTCTTTCCTTTTCAAAGTTTTGACACCAAAAAAAAGAAAGACATAATCTATTTTAGTTTGTAAAATTTTTATTATTTTAAAACTAAAATATTTGAGGTCAAAACTGTTTATATTGAATCAAACAATTGTATACACTGTACAACGACATAATATCCTAACAGAAGGGAAAAATTAATTTTAAGATCCCTTGATATTTTTTTAAACTAACTAATCTATTCTTAATATTTTCAAAAAAAAAAAAAAAAAAAAAAAGAAGGGACAAAGAAAAATTAATTTAATCCTTGATATTTATTTTAAACTAACTAATCTATTCTTGAAATATCTATTCAAAAAAAAAAAAAAAAAAAAAAAACTAACTCAAAAAAAAAAAAAAAAAAAAACTAATCTATTCTTAAAGTAACTAATCTATTTTAAAAAATTAACAAAGTATTCCTTTATAGACAAACGACGCCTTTTCTAGTAACTAACCTATTTTTAAAGTAATTCATGTGTCTTTTCCTGTAATCTTGCAGTATCTATAGGATTATTACCTAGCTAGGTTAAGTAAAGCAACAGAATTTGGAAGCCAATGAGTTTAGGATATTTGCAGACTTTTTTATCAACCAACATATCCGTTTTCTGTTTTCATGTAAAAAATGTTGATTTTTGCCGTAACTTTGCGCTATTGATATGTTATTATAACTCCATTGGTTAAGTGAAGCAACAGAATTTGGATTCCATTAGATATTTTATTTGTTAAGAATGTTAATGATGTTTTATTTGCAGCAATTATGTCTTTCAAAAATTTCCCTTGTTATTATAATTCCATATATTATTATTATTAGAAAAAAAAAAAAAAAAAAAAAAAAAAAAAAGAGGGAAAAAGGAAAAGATAGGCATGGCTCCTCTTCAAAGCTCTTCCAATTATCACTTTGTATTCTCGCTTAAAAAAAAAAAAAAAAAAAGAAAAAGGAAAAGAAGGGCATTGCTCCTTTCAAAGCTCTCCAAGTATCCACTTTGTATCTCGCTCTTCACGACTGTCCCCTCAAAGCCCTTCCTAGTACAGTTTAGGACCCACGTGGTCTAACTATTCATACTAATTATTCGCAGCGGATACTGTGACGGATTAGTGATAATGATTAGGCGATAAATACTAATGTTTGATAAAATTTTGACAGTAATTACTTTTAAAACATAACATGCTTATTAGGGATATAATTATTTTTTATAAATTATTTTATTAGTTTAAATATAATATAAATACAAGTTGATTGGAACTTATTCGATAAGTTAATGAGGTAATATATATCTATTTATCAAGTTATCTTACTCCCATCGGGTCGATCCAATAAGAGATAAAATGCTCTCAATGAGTATTTGCTCAATTCATGAGGATTGAATCCTTGACTTCATTTAAGGAGAAGAATACCGAATCACTCAGATTAATATTCGTTGGTAATTTAATATTTGTTTGGCTAAACAGCGGTAATATTATGATCATGAAAAATCCAATGAAAGATCCAACGGGATAAAAAGGAAGAACATGATAACTTAACCATAAAAACTTAACGATAAACTAATTGTATAATTACCTAACCAGGAATTAACTTTCAGAACAACATGTGAGATAAGTTAGTTTTGAGCTCGTTTCAACGATTT